ATAATTCTCATATAAACTGTTAAACCATTGACATTCTAGAGTAGGAAATCATTGAACAAATCACTGTCATAGACTTTTACTTTGCAGTAGTTTGCCTGCAGCCCCCAAAATCATTAAATCCACCCCTGCTCTGAGTGATGTCAAACTGAAAGTATGAATCTATGAGCAACAGTTTAAGTGATGCTCTTATGAACGCACCCATAACAATCAGCTGGTTCTAATGCATCAGTCTTTTAACTCCAGGCTGCAAAGATGTAAACTACATCAAACTACAAGCTAGGAAATCGTGAAGTTTGCTCAAGGTTTTTCTACAGAATCCTTGTGTTTTCACCTTTGCATGACTTTGGCATCATGGTTAATGGATATAACTTTTCTCAAGTGCCGGGGATCGAACCACTGACCCTCTGATTAGTGGACAACCCGCTCCATTAGATAGTCATTAGATGTTTGTTACCATTGAGCGAGACAGAGAAAATAATCAAAGTCAGGTGATTTAAACGAAACCTTTTTCACGTTTGTGATTCAAAAATCATTCGTTGATATATAAGAACAATTAAACGTCCAGTCATTGTGACTCTGAACAAAATAGTTTTTACTTTGAGATCATGTCAGTGGTGTGTAAACACTCTTTGAACATTTAGTTTGCTCTGCCACTGTGAGCAGTGTGGGTGCGTGTGTGTGTGTGTGTGTTTGTTTGTTGCACAGTGCTGCAGCAGGTGACGGGCGTTTCCCCGCTCTCCATCACTCACAGGCGTAGACAGAGATCTGTCTTTTGGATTCGGAACTGAACCAGTAACAGCAGCAGCCTTTTGGTAATTGAACCCTGGGATGGGTCTCTCTCGGCAGCACATTGTTTATGTGTACTGAATTTATCCTCGTCTTTTTTTTTTGACTATAAATAATCACCATTTTTCAAAACAACACATGCTCAGTTCTCTGCTGCTGCTGTGTTAACATGACGTTAAAACCACTCTCTCATCCGTCCTGTGGGCTACATTAAACCTAAAGGGGATCACGTACATGAAAGAGGAGGTTCTAGAAGGTTGCATCTCTGACGTTTTTATTTTTAGGTTTTGTGTTTCTAAGAAGTAATGCGATACACAGATTATAGTAAAATCCCTCTTCAAAGCCCCAAGGCCCTAAATCCCAACTCTTGCTTTCTAAAAGTAAATGTCTAATGTCTGTGACACGGAGAGAGGAGCCCCCGACTTTAACTTTCAACTTTAAAAATACATTTTTCTTTTTGTTGCTGCAGAAAATTTGCCATAGCACCAGTGAGTGACTTCAGTTCTGTTTCTCAACTGGAGAACTTGCTGAAGTAAAACTCCGAAAGGAATTATTTAGATGTTGTCTGCTCCCTTTCAGCAACGTTTAACCTGCCTCAGACCTCATTAACTCATACGTGGAGTTTTCTCCGTCTGGTTACTTATCGCACTGATGAGGAGTTAATCAGTTGTGAGATCCTCTTCCAACACGTTTTAAGGATAAGAAACAGTTTTTCTCTTCTAAGAACCATTTCCCTGTCTTACATTCACATCTTCTCAACCACCTCTTCCCCCCTTATTTCACACTTTCCTCGTCTCTCACCTCCCCCCTGCTGTCTCCCCTCAGCTCCACCCGGCTCATAGTAGAGTAGAAGCAGCCTGTGCAGCAGTAATGACGGAGAGTCGGTATAATGACAGAGACAGTTTTATAATGATACAACGTATAATGATGGAGAAAGTGTGTGTGCGTGTGTGTGAGTGTGCGTGTGCGTTGCTACTACAGCTAACGAGGCTCTGTTGGGGCATTAACTATGCATGAACCTCACACCCTGAACTAACACATGCTACACATACACACAGCTAAACCACACACACATACATGTAGACCTGTAAGGGCACATACACACGCTCACTCGCTCACACACGATTTCAAAGAACATGGAACGGTGAAATTGTCAGCGGAGCCGCCACAGGTGCTGTGTTCAACATGAATTAATCATGAAAGAGACCTGTGATGTTTCACTACGCTCGCTGCTATTGTGATTGACAGCAGTGCTTAGAGAGAATTTATTTGGCACAAAGCTTGAGAAGTGTGTCGGGGTCATGTAGAGTTCACTCCTGCGAGCAGACTGCGTGTACAGTAGTAGAGGCACAGCAATCCCCCCCCCAGCTCACCGTTAAATAGGCTTACACGTGCTCTTACTCGGTCGCACAAGTTTTAAATTGCACCGGTGGCGAGCGCAGAAGTTTTTCCAAAATTTCACCGTTCTTAAAGGCGGGACCCGTTCTAAAAATGTGCACGAGATCACAGCAGCAGTACCAAAACCTCAAAATACACAGTACAGTGATTTTGGATTCTTGAATCTCAAAGCACAGGGGGGAGTTGAAAGGAGTTTTAGGTCAACGATCAAAGCGAGGACAGGCAGAGAAGAACAGGGGGTGAAAGTAGGCAGGCAAAGGTCCAGTAACAAGGGATGATGGGAAAACAAGGTCATAAACTGAAGCAGGCAGGATATCGAGACAAAAGGCTGGAATGCTTTGGCAGAAAAAAGTCTGGCAGTGTTGCAGCTACAGCGCATGCAGGTGAGCCAGGGAGGATAATGAGGAGCAGGTGTGCAGGGGGATGTGGAGGTCAGGTAATGAAGGGATGAGAGACTATTACACATATGGACTATTTATCAAAATGAACATAGTGAGTGAAGCCATTGGTGAAGTGCCTGAAACCTGTATTCTCTCAAATGATTCTACTTCTCAATTTAACATTTTCATCAGGACGTTATGATCTCAAACTGTATTTTCACGTCCTCTTCAATATAACACGGTGTTCATTTCGTAAGTTACGGTCCCATTTAGACGTTAAAGCCCCGTATGAATATCTTTTCCATTACGATTACTTGAAACTTCCACAGAATGCCTTCTGTGTCATTCTGCTACAAATTGTAAAGAATATCTGGTTAGTGACGATTTAAGTGGAGGGTGAAAAGACATAGTGGGATGTGTGAAAAAAGTGGAGATACTGTTTGAAAGCTTTTTGCTCACAGACCATGTTAAGTTGTGCTATCGGAGCCATCACACCACAGCACTGTGTGAGCTTTGACTATTGCAACCATCACAATTAGACTTGCAGACGTGTAAAAAGTGTTTTAATATTCCAGACAGTGAGGGCAGAATAATTGGAGACAATAATCCTTGAACTTAATATTTCTCCTCTTTGATTATTTTGCTGCTCCGTGAAGAGGAAGTTACTTATTCTTTCACTGGAAGGAGTTTTGAATTCTGTGATGTGCAGGATAATTACACCCGAAGGTATGCTGCCATATTTAGCACCACCTCTCTGAAATACAGAGTTCTTGTTTAAAAGTTTTCACAGGAAGAAATAAATGATCAGTACCTGCACTGGCATAATGAAATCAGAAGCTTCTCTGTACAGCTACCTGCCTTAACATCAGAGTCTGCTGCAGGCGTTGCTGCTGCTCAGCAATGAATATCTGCATCCACTGAGTGGAGGCACGCTGCGTCAGGACGAAGCTCTCAGATGCAAACACCTGTCTTATCAAGCAAAATCTCAAAGTACCTGAGGAGTTTCACTATCGTCTCATGTGGCTGCAGGAAGAGAGAGTAAAATATAAAGTGTCCCGTTCCTTTAACATCCTGAGCATTGCACACCGGCACCACCATGTGTGGAATTTACTGATCACGAGATAAACATTTCCCCAAATATTTCCTAAATAAATAGCAGAGGAAAAGAAAAGGAGAAAGTTTTCCATCTTAAAACATGTTTGTGTAAGTCCTGCTGAACGAATCAGATGTGAATTTGGGGCAACCAGCTCACCCCTTCAGTGGCATTAGAATACACTTTGTATACACAAATATGCAAATACATTGTGTTACAAAAGTCAAATGTATTCATCATTCTCTGTTCTCTTGATTTAACATCGGTGATGGAGGTGTGGATGGTGGCAGACAAACCTTAACATGTGAATAGAGGGTTGTGTTCAGCTGTGGTCCTCCAGGATGTAGTCTGCTACACCCACACTTAATATTTGAGTTATAAAACCCATCACTTCTGTATGTTTACGCCTGGTGTCTACACTACATCAGAATTTCTGTGTTTCTAACAAAGAACCTTTTAAACGCTGTCTGCAAATCTTCCCCACTTTCTCTTAAAACAACTCAAATACGACCAATCAAAGAAAAAGTAAAAATGACGTTTGGAAATAACGATGCCATGATCAGCATGTGCTTCCTGGTTGGGTCTTTTCAGACAGTCAGTGTTGAGAGCTCAACACACTGCAAACATAAAAAAAAAAACACACGTACAAATTAGGAAAACAACTTCATCAACTTAACAACAGATTCGCTTCAAAAAGTCAAAACAGGTCGATGAACCTGGCTGTAGCTCAATGCTTTGTGAAGCTATTGAAGTCTGCTACTCAAGCATTGAACTACAGCCAGGATTTATCTTTTTTGTGGGTCACCTGAAAACATTTCAGGTTTTTCCGGTTGCACATTTTTTCTATTTGGACGTGTGTTCTTGATTTGCAGTGCATTGAGCTCTCTCTGCCATCGTAGTGATGAACACAAAGCATTATTCACAAACTCATCGTCGTACGAAGTGAAGAAATTCCTGTTTTTCACTGCTGTTCTTCATCCATCCTATTTTCTGTAACCAAGCAACCAACTGCACAATAGCATGCTTCCTGTTTACACAGGTAACTATGCATTTTTAAATGTGTCGGTATGGATCTTAGTCCCTGAAATCTGTTTTTTCTCCAATGACCAGCAGAGGGTGACTCTTTCTATAGAAGTGAATGAGAGTATTACGCTCTGCTTCTCACTTGATTTATAACGTCGGTAAACATTGTCCTCGTCTCTATCTCTAGTATCAAATCTCGTTCTATAAGACGTATTAGCGGGTTGCTACTTGGTATAGATGCAGACAATTACAGATACTTGGCTAAAAAGCACACAGATGGATATTTTAAATCTGAAACATTAGTGTGGAGGCAGCCTCACTCACTCACTCACTATGTAATGGCCACTTTAACACAACACTGCATCATTCAATCACATCCCTCTAGAAATTATACCCCACTTTCACATCTCAAATCAATGAATAATGGAAACTAAAGATTTAATTTGTTGGCATCGGAGCGAGTTGTAAGAATGAAACACAAATAGATCAATGATTTCTCAATGGTTTTTTTTGTTCCACTTGTCTTCTGTGTAATCGTCACTTTATCTCCCTCTGTGTCCCAGGTGATAAATGCCATCGAGCAGGACTTCAGGCTGCCGGCTCCGATGGACTGTCCAGTCGTGCTGCACCAGCTGATGCTGGACTGTTGGCAGAAGGACAGGAACGCTCGGCCAAAGTTCCCCGATATTGTCAGCATGTTGGACAAGATGATACGCAACCCTGCATCTCTCAAAGCCGGCACCAACAACGTGGCCCCTGGGTGAGCAGACACGAAGTCCATTTACATACACAAACATTCAGTGATACAGTGGTGTTTGACCTCTTTACATCCGAACTCTCCAGTCCTTCCCATCATCCCCTGTTAGACCGCGGAGCTCCGGACCTGAGCAGGGTGAGCTCAGTGGAGGACTGGCTGGCTGCGCTGAAGATGACCCAGTATCGTGACTCCTTCCTGGGCTCTGGTTTCACGTCTCTGCCGCTTGTCACACAAATCACAGCTGAGTAAGTCGACTCATTACAGTGTCATTCTCTTTTTGTTTGTCTGCCTGTCTCCGCCTGCGTCTCTCACTCACCTGCCAAGTCGGTGTCTTGTTAGTTGGATGAGTGGCAGGGCAGCTGGTTGGCTGACGGATGGTCCATGTGTACTTGCATTCTTTCTTCCCCTTCACATCAGCGACAGCCGTGGCAGGAGGAGTCTGTCAGTCCGTCTAATTCTTGTGGACGCTATATCACAGTAACGCTCAAAGGGAATTAGTTTAAATTCGTTAAGGATTAAAGCTGATTCTCAATTCAGCGGCGGCTTCCTTTGGTGGCTGCACACACAGACGTCACAGTGGTCAAAGATCAAATTCGCTGTGAAAAACACCAGACAGTAATTGTAGTTAATTTATGGTGTAAAATGCTATGAGCACGATTATTAAAGATCAATATATCTCTGTCAAATAAACCTCCGTCATCTGTGTGGTATCAGCAGTTCTGCTGTTTCTGAAATCAAGGACCATGTTTCCCACAGTCTCCAGCTTCCAGGTACATTTTCTCAGAAGCTCACACGTCTGTGCTTCTGCCTGTTTTGTCTTGTGTTTCAAATAGTCATGTTAAAAGGGAGTTTTTCCTGTTATTGAAGTCCCAGCACCATCTGTCACGGCGGGAAATTCTGCGAGTTTACGCCTCGTTTACTCAGTAATTAATGCACTGTAGGTCTTCGATTAGTCAAAAGCTCTTTCAGGAATGGTTTGATTACTATTTTTCTTGGCTGAACAAACCTTTGCAGGAGAAAAATACTGTAGCATCGTGTGGTTTGATTCTCTGGATACAAAATGAGCCGTTAGCCCCGACCTCCAAACTCTTGGGTCAATAAATAGTCCACCAGAGGTTCCTGTCATCGCCTCTGACTAAAGGCACCCGCGACAGACTTGGAGTTGGTCCCACTGCTCTGCACTGTGACTGCCCACTGCTCCCCACTAGTTAGACTGGGTCAAACACAGAGGATTAATTCCTCCACAGGGATTAATAAAGTCGACTTCAACATAGTACCCATGTGGAGACGGCAGATAAGAGAGGGTGTGGGGTGGGGAAATTTCTGTCAGACACTTTTCCTGCAGAATGCACCACTGCATGAGGGAAAATAGATGAGGACAATTACCACTTTGGGTTTTTAAATAATTGTCTTTGCAACACAAATTCATGGTGGGAAATGTAAGCCCACATTAGATCCTGTGAAAAGTTATATGCCCACACAGACCATATATGACTTTATGAGGAATTTAATGGATGTTCTATTTTGTCCGCTGTGGTTGGAAGCCAATTTCCCCAGATGCCACATCAGATCAGTAAAATCAAATGAATGATGTGAAGCATATAGTTCTTCCTCCAGAGGAATTCACCTTTAGATTAACAGTTTAAAACCAGAGAGAGATTAATGTGAGATATATATTTTCTTAGGGCTACGACATAGTCACTGCTTGTTGATTCTATGCTAATTTAAAGCCCTGGCACCTTTTATGCTAGCGACACCCAGAGGCCAAAGGCATATTGCTCTTGGGTTGTCCATCCATATGTACGCTGGTCCGTCCCATTGTTGTGAACACAATATCTCAAGATTGCTTTGAAAGACTCCTTTCAAATGTTCACTTAGATTCACAGATGAACTGATTCAATTCGGGTGATCAAATGTTAAAATTCAAGGTCATGGTAACCACATGATATCTCAAGTTCTGCCTTTAGGAAATATCTACCAATTTTGACCAGCTCACAGTGACCTCCAATCTGGAAAAGAAAATGTACTTTAAACTGCAGCAGCCGGCTGAACAACTGAATGGGAGTAATTTTAGTTTATTGCATTTCAAGCACTGTTTACTGTTAATGTAACATTAATGATGATGATGATGATGATGATGATGATGATGATGCAGCCTCACTTCTGTTTTTGTGTTTCCTCAGAGATCTTCAGAGAATCGGAGTGTCTCTCGCCGGACACCAAAAGAAAATCCTGACCAGTGTTCAGTCAATGAGGCATCAGGTCGACGACCAGTCTCCCACTGAATCAGTGTAACCACACAGGAGTGATGCACTAAGAGAATCTTGGCACTGGTGCCCAGTCTGGAACAACCAGGCTCTACACTTTGTCTTTTCACTTTCACTGTTTTCCCTGCACACTGTTCAGTGCTGCTCCTGGAGATTTCACATGTTTTTAAACAGCAGACAAACTCTGGCCATTTATGGCCTGATCTCTTTTAACCATTGGACCGACCTCTTTCAGGCAATTTACGTCCTAATTTAAAAAATGGAATAAAAAGTATTTGGATTTTTTAAGTGACTACAGTCACCAGATCCCATCCGCCCCCATGAAGAAATCTGCAAGACTCTGTACATTTTAATGGTGGAAATGAGACCATTTTTTACCAACAACTGATTCCAGGATCACATCACCTGTTTTTTTTATCTAAGGATAAATCACACCAAGACTGTGAAGAGACTGTGAGCAGGCGTTTATATGTTGGCGAACAGAAGCTTGACGAATGGTCCGTAAAGCTGTGTTTCTTGACACGAGACCTTCAGCAGGTCCTCATATCTTCATGTTTGTTCTGTTTAGATTGTTGGTGAAATTTGCCGCCATTTGTCAAGAGTCAACGGCCCGTTTCTGAATCTCTCTTCATATTGAAGAGTCTGTACATCTTGTAATTTGGGATATTTATTTCCTATTTGCTCGTTTGCTTTCACTTCTGCCAACAGCATTGGACAATTAATTGTCACTGGAGTGTTTGTGAGTTCTCTGTGATTATCTTCCTCTGCCGGACTCATCACTGGAACCGACTTTGAAGTGCTGTGGACCGCAGATGAAAAAAATGGAAAAACAGGTTTCGTAGTGATATTTTTTGTACTTTCCATGCAGCCATGAAAGGATAAACTCTTCCATGCAGAGAGCCAGAGATGCCTGTCCTACTTAAAATACCCAGAGTCCTCAGAGCGAACTCATGATGGATGATGTTTTACAATCAGCACTAATGCCCTTTGAGTAAAGCCAATTATGGATCAGAAAACAGGAAAATATTGCACCGTGGCGGAATAACAACGTACTTCCCCGGCGGGGAAGGAAGGCGGCCGCGTACCTTGAAGAAGAGAAGGAGGACTGTGGGTATGGAGTCGTTACCAGCTGCTGAGACGCACCTGTTGTGGACGCAGAAAGAAAAAGTTGTCGTCATCCAATAATAGATAAATTGTGATTTGGCTGCGGATTCTGACGCTGGCTGGCAGTTGAGCATTAATACAACACGTGAACAAACCAGAGAGTTCACACATGGAATCAAACTCATTTCTGTCACAAGTGTATGGCTGCTGTCCAGATGTTAATCATCACTCGGGACTCGCAGACACAGGCAGACAGGGTCCTCCGTGTTAATTCATCTGTATTTTCTTTTTATTCATCGGCCGCCGGACATGTCATTGTCGTCAGAGTCTGTTTTGACAGTCACATTTCCCAACTGACGGCGCTGATTAATTCTGTTGTGTCAGTTTGCAGATGAAACGGCACGATGCGACCTATACGTGTTTCTCATCTGCGCGCTACAACCTTTTCAACGCAGATCCACAATGATTGATTTCTCAGACACCTCGGAGAAAAGATGTTACAACACAAATTCAAAATGCTGGAGGTCAAGAAGGAAATCGGTGGGTTATTTATCATGTGCTAATACTTAAAACGTGACGTCCGGCTCATGGGGCTTCACAGCACATGATATAATGAAGGCCTGATCTCACGACAGGGCACTCGGGGTGGAGAAGCTATGGGAGATCTCTTTTTATCTCAGCGCTGAGCAGATTACCAGCTGTGAAACAACAGCCGGCTCGTTCTGCCTCCCGCCCAAACCTCTGGTCATGCGTGTGCAGCCACATCCAGAGGATTACCCGTCCGCAGCACTGATTGGATGTCATGATTTTGTTTGTCATCCGCTGCGAGCCGTGCTCACAATGAGAGAAGTGGCAGCGTCGGGTTGTTTGCTCTCATCACGGCGTGTCCGAAAGAACCATGTGTTTGTGTGTTTGTCTCTCGCGTCGCTGATCTCGACTGCTGGGACGCCCCCAACGACTTTTATTTATGAAAGTTGTGACATTGAGAGGATTCGCAGTTATTTTAAACCTCCAAGCATTTCAGTTTCTGCTTTTCTCCCCGAAACGCTGCAACGCCGGCATGGCCGCAATTGCATTTGTTGCCCCGGCAACGTTAGCTTATTGAGCATTTTATCAAAAAGTATTGAGATCAACTGGGAGCGAGTCAACGGCTCAGAGGCATAATTCGTTGTAAATAGATGCCTCTGGAAGAGAAGTTTCAGCTCTGGCTTGGGGGTTTAATAAAGAGTGAGATGAGTCGTGTGCCTAAAAGTTCATATTAAACACCACCTTAAAAAAATGTCACACAGGAAATGAAAGCGACCAACACAAACAGGAATCTCAACCCATTATGTAACATCTGCAGCTGAGTGCGATGTGTCGAGTCCTCGTTTCATACTGTGTTATTGTCTTCTGATATTTAACGAGGTTCGATGGGAGTTTTCAGACATTTCACGTCGTCAATGTTTGTGAAAAGACACACGATGTACAGCACATGTTGTATTTACACTACGAACGAGCACAAATATTTACCACAGAGACAATTTCTCAGGAACACAACAAATGTACGTTTTGTCCACGCTGCTGCACTGGTAAAATCCTGCACTATATAGAGAGACGAAGTGCTTTAAGGGTTAACGGAGAAAAGTGTTTTTGAAGTTGAGTTTTCTGAGCTACGTCCACATTAAATCCAGCCTCTTAAAATGAGAAATATATGAGTAAAACCTTTTTAAAGTTCTTAATTTGTGTACTTGAACTAATCATGAAGACACAGATACAGGTTTCGGTGAAGAATCGTAGTCGGGGTTAATGAACTGTCTGATTATATCACTGATGAACATTTCTAGTTAAAGGATGAATTCAGTTTTTTATCCTCTTCTATTGAAAGTTTAACCATCAAGCTTTTCAAATGTTTCCAATTCTTTTAAGTCTGCTAATTAAGGTCCATCCTTAGATTCTTATCATTCCTAATTCTTATCGTTCTTTATTGTTTCGTGATCCAAACCAGACAAAACTATTGGAGCTTATGTCAATAGACACTAGTTTCCCACAGAGCAGTACCCAAAGGAAATGGAGGAGCTGCTATGTTTTGTTAACATGCAGTAGTCTGTGTATTATCCAGGTAAAAGTACCCTGCAGAACTCTCTTAACAACATTCACCTTCAGTGTTTCTCACTACGACACAATGAGTATGATTGAGGATGAGTTGACGGCTTTTCTGATAAAGGTATAGTTTTTATTTTGCAGTGTTTACATCAACGTTAACTAGATAGAAACGATACCTGGTACGAACATAGTCATCTTACGAATTTGGAGCCAGAGTCTGTTCAGAAGTGATGGTGGAGTAGAGCCATAGTATCGAGGTCCAGCTAATACACACTCGACCAATCACGTCTCAGTTGTCAATCATGATGTTTTCACCTCATGTTTTGTTTCATAATTTAAAACCTACTCGAAAGACTCTTAGGAAAAATGTATTTTAACCTTTAGTTTTCTCAATGCAATGCTCGTTGTTCATTAGGAGGTAATAAGTGTTTCATGACACTTGCTGGAAAACTTGCCACCATATCCACGACCACCCCCCACCTTTGTAAAAAAAACGTGTATTCTGGTCTCCTGGGGTTATACTGTCGATGGACGGATTTCTCTCCAGTCATCGTTGAACAGAGGTAAAACTGGCAGCTGCAGACAAAAGAGCTCAGATTCTGAGGGCCTGACACCAAAACCTGACATTTACTGCAGATGTTCCAGATAAAGGAACTACATCCACACTCCACTGTAACTGTGCTGGACGTACATCAACATGATGTGGCATAATGTTTGGCCAATTAAGCACGGCAATGGGACAAATGGACCACTTTGATGCAAAACAGGCCCCGAAATGCAAGGTGCATCAGCAGCAGCTCCTCTGAGTGCTTTTGGATGGATTTATCGTTTAATTGCAGTTATTTTCTGGAAGCTGGACCAACCCTGGCTGCCTTTCTTGTCTCCTGTTGCTCTGCTGTAATAGATACCGTAGGGGAGGCTGGAGATGAGAGGAGACGAGTTATGAAGAGAGGAGAAAAGTGAAAGGGAATAGGTAATGGAGGGGGCAAGAGGAGACGGGAAGGAAAGAGAATAGCAGAGAAAAGGGAGATGGGGTGGGGGACGCGAGAGGCAAAGCCTGACTCTGGTGTTTGAATAAAAATGAGGCTGGGTGTGGAGAGATTACTCTTTCTCTTTTTGTCTCTTTCTCCTTCTCCCTGCTCTACCCAGCTGTCCTCTTTCTTCTTCTAATGCCCACAACCTCTCTGAACGACTCGCTCTGCTTCCAGGCTGCGTTTCCACCATCGCCTTTGACAGCTTTAAAGGGAAAGAAGTCGAGCAATCTTTCTATTTTAGATGCACTGTTTTCACAAACCTTTTCAACTTGCATCTGAAGCATATCTGGAAAGTTTCAGTTTCACACAAAAACAAAAACTTGCAGTGTTTTTTGTGGGTTTTTCGAGACAGTATTTTTTTTCTCTACATTAAATGTTCTTATTTTACATTCACACTGCTCTTCAAACTCACCTGAACTCTACTTTGACTTCTTGTCTTCCCTCTTGAAACTGAATTATTTCTGAATGGATTGTGATGTAGTTGTCTCCATAGATTTAAGATCTCAAAACGTTAAAGCTTACTGATGTTGATGATTCCACCGACTCGTTATGTTATGAGTGAAACGTCTCGATGACTGTTGGATGTCATGTTCACATCAGGGTGTGACACAAAGATTGTAAATAAAGATGGACAACGTACTGCCGCTGTACAAAAATGAAGCCAAAATATCTTGGATGCGGCTCCGCCATCTTGCGCTGGTGACATAGTTTTGGAGCCACTGTCAGTCATGATGTTTTATATCATCAAATAACTCGTTAAACCCAAACTTATTAGAAACACTTGATGATTCATTAGCATGATATGAACTACCTAAACACACCATCTTTGAGAAATATTTTTGATTTGTACCGTAGAACGTTTTAGCTTTGTTCGCATCTCATCTGCTCACATGGATCGGGGGGTGGGGTGTACGACCAATACCGCAGCCAGCCACCAGGGGGTCACTTTTTGTAGCCTTCACATCGTCCATCTTTATATTCAGGCCATGTGTGATGTTTTAATCTTTCCTGTGATGTCACGATCAAGATAACTTTTAATTTTAACCAAACTCCCCGAAACGAAGACATTATTAAGAAAGTGTTGGCAATTTTGAGGGATATTGACGTTTGCATTTAGCTCGAACACAGCAGTGCTGAAGTATTATCTCCTGAGGATTTGTTGGTCTCTACAAAACATTACTGCAGTATTTTGTTGGTTTTGAGAAAAATCCCAAAACTGTGAACACAAAGCAATTAGAGATTTATCTTGTATTTAAACCTGTCGCCTTTGTGTTCTGTCATTTACAGGGATTCATCAAAATAACCCAAACTGTAAGAGTTGAGCTGTTAACACTCTGTGGACATGAAGAAAAAATATTTTCGTTTCTGTTTTATTTTAAATGTTAATTTATTTGCCTTTCTATGAAAATACTTTTGTATGTAATGTTCGTGTCTCTCTGAAAAAAGAAGAACAGCTCATTAATCAGCTGTCGTCTGCCTTTCTGTTTACCTACAATGCTGTTTATATGTGTTTATAGTGCTCGTCCAGGCAGAGCATCCCACTGTAATTCATCATAATACTGTAATATAATGTAAGTATGCGCACGCCTGAGTGTGTGTGTGTGTGTAATATAATGTGTGTGTGTGCTGTTCAGTGTACAGTAACATGTTTGTACATTGTGCGTGTGTGAGTTTGTAGCTGTGAACTTTCTGAATATTACATTTACAATGCACTGTTTGTCAATAAAGAAGACAAATCAATCAAACTGATCATGTTGTGAACATGTCATTTTAAGTCCGGACATGGTTGAGACACATCACTAATAATAATAATAATAATAATAATTAGAACAACAATAATAAATAGAAGTTGTCTTTATTCTTCGTGTGATGTTTTATCTGATATTCTCTTCGATAAAGGAGCTCAGAAGAAGATCTGCACCGAGAAAAGTAATTAAAAAAGGTTATTAAACTCCATAATGACTTCTCTTATGCCAGCACACGAAAGTAATCTCTCAGCGGAGCGAGAGTCTTTTTAACGTGCGAGTGACTCATGTGTCTGATTGTGACTCCTCATTGAGGAACGGTGAAGTTTGCAACCTGTGAGAATGATCCTGTGGTTTTGGTCCTCACAGCATTAGATTAATTCAATACAACTAAAGACATTTTCAAAAGATGCACATAAACACGAGGCGTGTAAATTAAATCACAGTTAAATCTAGATTCACTGATAGAAGACTCAGTTATTCAACCACACAGATTTGTTGGAAGGAGAATGATCAACATAAATCTGATCGCTGCAACTGAGTGATGGTGAAATATATTTTATTATAATCAAGGGAAGCCTGAGAGAAACATTTAAGAAGTAAATTCACAGTACATGTCCCCTTTTAGAATAAAAAAGGCTGAACGTACACAGAAACACACAGAAAGACCCTGGCTGAACTGGGATTCAAACCAGGAACATAGCAGCTGCGAGGCGCTAACAGTGTATTTAGTCTTTACGGCACAGTTTTTGAAATTCACTCACACGCAGTTCATATGTTTGTGCAGCACATTCTCTGTCTCTACACATCACTTGCACTCTGCTTGCACAATTTGGGATTCAGTATTTTGCCCAAGGGGGAGACTGGGATCCAACTGTCAACCTTCTGTTTCATGGCTGACCCGCTGTAACCCCTGAGCCACAGCTACCCGTGACAGGAGGAAGAAAATAACAACTTTTTCAAGCTAAATTTACTCAAAGAAATCAATAGAAGCGGTTGGTAGGAGGTTCTGTTGTGTTGTAGTGTTTTGACACCGTCCAGCATGACTTCACATTGACCTAACAAACTATTGGTTGACTTCTACTTTTGTAAACTTTTGTAAACCCCTTTGTTTGGATATTTGGATTGTTTTATTTTATTACCTCACGTGTCTCTTGCTTCACTTCCTGTCTTTGTCCTGTCCCCTCCTCTGTGATCATCCCTGATGTGTTTCACCTGTGCTCAGTCATCTTCAGTCCTTCTTGTCACTTTTAACTCGACAGTATCGGTCCTGTCAGTACTCCTGAGCTCTGCCGCCTGCATTTACAGTTTTAACTTCTTGGATACGTTTCTTGGTTCCTGCAAACATAGACAGTAAGCCTTCCTTTAACACTCTCTACCAGTCTTGTCAGTTTTCTTACAGTATTTAATTTAATTTAATTTCATCCTCATTGTCTTTACCTTTGTTTCCATGGATGTGATTGTTTACACGAGCCACAGAAGGATTTTACTTTGCTCTATGTATTTTGTGGATGTCAGAGCTCCATCAAGTTAATTTAACAACAAAACCGAGTTTGGTCCGCACGTACTGTTTGAAAATTAGAAAAACTGAAATGTTAAATTTGATCAATCCTGCTGTTTTATCTGGAGTTCATTATTTTATTTCTTTCCCAGTTTTCAAAAGTCCAGGGTGATATTTAATTTGACAAACTAAAAGCAGACTTCTTGATTTCAACAAACAACTATTGAATTATCAAAGTAGTTGCAGATTATTAGAAGACAGGGTCTTTCTCTGTGGGGTTTGAGTTTAGTGGGTGGTCTGTCAGCCATGTGACCTGTCCAGAGTGAACCCCGCCTCTCGTCCAAAGCCAGCTGGGATTGTCTCGGTTAAAATCCTCTTCATGTCCCGATAGCTTTCAGTAAATAAATCAACATGACCAATCACGATGCTCAGAAGTTAGTGAGTCACAGAAAAGTCGACTTCTAGTAGTTCTCAGTCAGCGCATGTTCACGGGGGCGTGGCTTTGACAGGAGGGCCGATGGAAGGGGGATGGAGCTGGTGCATTTTTTTATCAAAGTGTGACCTGCTCTCGTGCTCCGTTCCAGGATTACCAACCCTAGCTTTAAAGGATAACCGCTATAGATAATGAATGGATGGCTAACCCTCTGACATCACACTGAGCCCATGAAATTCTAAACTTTCAAACTCCTGAACCACGTTGGTCTAGTTTTAGTTTCCACTTGTAAACAATCTTTACCTTCTTACTTTAAGGTGCCGTCTGTGTCTCGTTGTCGTTAGAGTTGATGGAAACAGACCAGAGGAGAAAAATGGAGTTCATATCTTGTGAGTGCTTCAGGGGTTAATGGATTTCAGTGGTAACAGACCGAAGCCTGGCCAGGCGTGTCGGTGGGGGAGCACAACACCGGGCGTGGTGGCATGACTTCATCATGAGCCCAAAGAGAGAGTGACAGAAGGAGGTTAAGAGACGGAGAAGACGGAGGGAGGAGTGAAATGTGTTTATTTGTGTGTGTGTGTGTGAGACACAGTGAGTCATCTTCACACGACCTCACCGGCACAAATCTGTCTTTCCTCTCCTCCCCCAACAAACTCCCGTGGATAAATAATTGACGGCCGTCTCTGACACTGGTCCACTGGTGTGAGGCGTTTTGCTCTGAGGTCTTCGTTCCTGAATTCTTAATTTTTCTTTCTCTTTCTTTCTGTGGCAGAACTCTCAGCAGAAAACAATGAACAGTGAGTATTTTTTTTTAAAAGGAATGAACGTCTATGCATTATTGAGCAGCAGTCAGCAGCAGCAGCTATCTCTATCTGCGCGGCTGCTGAAATAAATATGACACAGCACTGGAGAGATTTGCACACATTTGAACTGAGCTCTCTGAGCGCAGAGCATTCAGAGTTACACGTCTTCCAGCCAAGACAAAACCGGGCCAAGACCGTTGTTCAAAGCAACTAGTAAATAATTTTTTTTGTTCTTGTTGTTGTTGTGAAGTATCACTTCACACAAGGAGAAAAAACTTGAGTTGCCTTCCTCACAGAGTGAAAGAAGAGAAACATCTGTGTTGACAGCACCGTCTTTGTTTCCATGTTTTGGTTCGTCTTTGTTCCGACTCCAGCATGAAGTGTGTAAACTGCACTCCCAGCTCACACTCGTGCTGCAGCTCACACTCGTGCTGCAGCTCACACTCGTGCTGCAGCTCACACTCCTGCTGCTGTCGGAGGACGACCTGTTCAGGACACAACATTTGCAGAAACGATCGAGGCCAAGGAAGTAAATTTTTTGTTGGATAGTAAATTTATATATTATAGTCGTGTGTAGATCTGAGGAACATGATATTCCCTCACCTCTGTCATTTTACCTTTGCATTCACTGCATTAGATTTCCCAAGTGCCACTTCATCACCAGACTCTCTCCTGACAGTTGTGGTTCTTTCTGGAAGCTCAGATGACTCTAACTTTCCTGACCAGGGGCAAAATTACTAAAAATCAATATGGAACAATATTTCAGTTCAAGATCTTGTTTATGTGGCTGAAATAAAAAAAAAATAAAAAAAAGAAACATCCTTTACAAAACTAGTGAGATCTGGATATGCAGTTTTCACTTCATGTTGCCTGTTGGCAGATTTGGCACTGCTGAGTTTAATGAACGAAAACACTCGGCTCATTAAGAACATCTGATCTGACATCAAATCCTTACACAAGTTACACTCACGTAAAAAAGACACAACAACTGACAAGCCGTGACAAATAACTGTCACCCTGCATGTTCGGATCGATTATGTTCCACGTGTTATCGACAACAGAGGAAGTCAGGTGCACTGACGAGGGCAGGGCTGCACGCACACACGTTTAAAATGGCAGATGCCAGAAATTCCACCTCTGTGGGGGTCAGTCATGTGACGGACAAACCTCACGTCACTGTTTTAAAGCATCACATTCCAGTGTGAACCTCTGGAGACGTGTGGAGGAAGTTCCAGAAACAACAACAACGCTGTGTATTTCTGATCACTGGACCTCAGCAGGGAGTTAACACCTTGTTTGAAAAAAAAAAAAAAAAAGCTGTAGTTTATGACGTTCCTGCGTTTTTCAGCTGTGAACTTCAACAGTGACGTTAGAGCTTAAATCACTCTTGACCTCATCATGTCTCGGTGAGAGGGTAAAAAGCTCAGTCCAGTGATTTACAGCAGGGTCATGACTGAAGTGAAGGTGTCAATGGAGGAGGAAGTAAAGTGGAGGTGCTGATATTTTGAGCTGTTATTTAATATCTTAATCTTTCACCCTTTTTCATGCTCATTTGTGCAGATTGTCCTCCAGAAGCACAGTGGATTCACTCATATAAACAAAAGCCCAGAAATGACTTTAGTGAAATAATGAGGCACAAAATGTTCTGGTGAAAGTTAAGTAAAAACCTGGGTGCTCCTTCTGGGCTGCTGCCTGTGCTGGAGTTGTGGAGCTGTATTTGTCTCTGCTTTCCCAACAGTGTTCGTACCAGTGGTCGATTACATTGTGTCATTTATAGACTTGCTCCGGACATTAAAGGTCACAGAATTTTATTTTTATTTAAACTTGTAGGCTCCCGACACCAGTTGTCTTTGGTTTTTAACAGCAAAGTGTTGTTGTCACTCGCAAACCAGTTATCGCAGCAGAGAGGTGGTTCTTCGGCCGGTGAAACACAAAGAAATGGTTTGACTTGCACGTAGACTGCAGCTTTCAGGCGTGCACTGAAGTCAAATGTCTGAGAGAACCTATGTGAGACATTTCTAATATGAGACAGTTGGGACAGGTGCAAACTGAAAAAGACAAATATCTATAAACGTTAAAGACAAAGATGTCAAACAAAAATGTGTCCAGACATTTTTCAGGAGTTTCTTGTTCTTACAGTAGCAATATAACAGATTGAGGTATCTAATAAACCAAATGATTTATTTGTAATAGGCCTCATCCCTCCACAAGGTTTGATAGATATAATTGTGGTTTAATCCTGCAAACACACAC